CGCTGCGGCTGGCCGACGGTACCGCTAAAGGTTTAATTAGCGAATCGGTTAATCGGATACGTGACTATTAGCGTGAAATCCGTGGCACGAGGACGACCACGGAAAAAGCGCTCTTCGCGCGCGCATAGAATCGTGACTCGTTCATACTTAGGTGCAAGAAAAGACTTGAACGACTCTGGGGATTATCGATTTATTGCACGGCATTCGAATGTTATCCCACGATATACCGTCGGATGTGATGTGATAATGTTACGGTAACAGCTCACTTCAACTTATACGTGAATTACAAAGTATATTACCTCCAAGAGCCAATCATCGAGCCTTTAATATTTTATTACCGGAGAAAGAAATAGCATAGGATCATTAGGTATCGTTAGTACTTAGAAATAATTAATACGTGTGATAGTAATAGAATTCTCCTTACAAATTCTTTTATTAAACCATTGGCTTGCAATCGTTTTTTTTCTAAAAATGCGATCGATGCAGGATCTTTTGTCTGGTCAAAGGCAGGACTAACAGCCAACTGGACTCGTTGACCGACATTTTTGCCATGCATCCGTTGGTAAACCGGAGTTTAAGAGAGCGTAGCGCGCGTGTAACGGCGGCAATTTATGCGCCCGCTAGAATTTATACACACGCGGAGGAGGACGGCGTGAGCGGAGTGAAATAAAAAGAGAGAACAAGAAAAAACGAGAGACGAACGAGAATAAAGGGGATGACCGTTGGACGCGTTTCGCGGCGCTCGCCTCTAACTGCCGCATAAACTCTCGCCCCGAAATCTTAAAATAGTCACAACAATTTATGCGTCCTGCCGCTGTTGCTCCTTCACCCACCGTCTTCCCTCATCTTTCTCTCTGGTTAAGGAAATACTCGTAATTAACTCGCGATTTTAAGTTTGATGCTTGATTTCAGAAATTCATTATTCAGTTTAGCAGAAATAAACGCAGATATAAATTTTTTCCCTAAGTAATTTTAATTAGAGAAGAAATTTTCTTCTCTATTTACAGGGTTTCCATAAAAATATTTTGGTTTGTAATCACGAGATATATTCAGAATAGTTTAGTAGAAAAATTATCGATATGACTATTGGCCTGTACTTGCGTTCAGCGAGTACTTCCACGAAACTAAAACAACCGCGATATTTGCATGAAAACATTTCAACGTTTGCACGATTATCACGCGTTTGTTGCGAACGGTAGTAGCGCCAGTTACCGCGGGATCTCGCCGCGAAAGCAAAGGGTTCTCGCCGGTGCTGTTTTATAATGCATCGCGTTTCCGCGGCGAAAAGTTTCCGCTGGAAACCCACCGCCACCGCCGCGCCAGCGAGCGTCGCGGCGCAACTTCGCGAAAACGCCCGTCCGTGCGGTAGAATTTATGCCGGGTCTAGTTACGATGTTGCTCAAACGCGCGCGGTTCTCGTAATTGTGCGTTCGGCGGCGAAAATGGAGAGATGGAAGTTTTCGCCGTCGGTCAAATACCGTCGACGATAGAGACTCGCGGAAATTTTCGCGGCACTGATATTTCCGCTGCTGCGCTAATTGTTAATTATCTTCACCCGACGGCGCTTTCGGACTCCCGATGCTAAGAGATACTCGCAAAATACATTTCCTTTCGTTGTGTTACAATTTTTGTACAGTTTTTAATTTTTAATTTTCAAGAATTGACATTGTTCGAATAAATCACGTCATTGCTAAGATATTACATATTGTTCTCAAATGCGATATATTTATTGTATATGTTTTTTCGTAGACTTTTGCACTTATAATATATGTATAATCTATAATGCATTTCCGAAAATAATGATATTTCCAAAATGTCTGAGGCAGTTCCTGTTGTATTTCCGATAAGCATACTTATCACTAGTTGACTCGATGTCTTGCCAACAAATGTAGAAGCTACTCGCGGCTGATATAGAAGAGCTAAGATAGCAAGACAGTATCTTTGACACTCACATCTTGTCCAAAGAGACGTAATCTTTTCAAAAATAAAAAAGAAATAGAAATATTTACTTTGTTTTCTATTACCTTTTTTTTTGAGTAAAAAAGAACAAAAAGAAAATTTGTATAAGATTATATTATAGAAACAAATGAATTGAAAAGTAAATATATGTTTTTTCTAATATTTTACATCCAAAGTAAGAATGATTAATATCTTTGGCGCAAGGTGTTTGGTGTTATATGGCTGACGATATTAAATGTGGAAGAAATGATATAATATGTTGAAAATTGATAGATCGTTGTTACACACGTCCGCAGGTATCTCGAAAAACGGATAAGTTCCTCGAGTATGGAAATTAAATCGGGATTTCTCTTAGAGAGACCGTATTATATCGCAACGTACATCATTATCAGATTTAATTTTATACGTGCTAGTATGTTACAGGCCGGGCTAAGAGAAAAATCTCGCTCTCGCGTTCTCGACGCCTCAATTATCGTTAGCGCGAGCGACGTCCGGTAATGTAAGTTACGTTATCATACCTTATTACGCGAATGTAGCATAATGCATTACCGCGTCCGCTAACGTTCCGCACTCTCCCGGCATCGCTTCTTCGTATGCAGATGAAACGCAAAATGCGTAAGGTAGAAGCGAAAGGGAGTTATCGTTCGCGCAGGTAAGACGATACTCGCGGCTCGTAGTGAAAAGCTTCGGTCGTTGCGCGTGTTTCCATAAATGAATGTGTTAATTTAGGAAGGCGCTAATTAGATAAAACAAATAAATCCTTTTTGGGAAAATTATTACGCAAATTACTTAATCGCGTTACAACGTTAGAAGGTAACGTTACATTTAATGTTGATTTCAAAAACAATCTTTGAAAAATAAAATGTAAAAACTTATTTACACTCTTGAGCCATGAATCTCTTCTTCGCCTCTTCAAACAATAATATTTAAATAAATGTTCAAAACGCTTTATTACAAATGATATCTATAAGTACAATAACTACAATAATCTCTCAAAAGTCGAACGGTGAGATAACGATTTGTAACGATAAACGATAAACCTTATATATTTTCTTTGTAGATATTCGAACTCGAAACTTGTCTCCGCTCGTTTCGCTCCCCCTATCTCATTGCCGCCAGCGACCCTAGCCCGGACGATAATCCAGTCACAGAGCCACAGGGTATTTTTTTTATCACGCGCCGACTAGGCATCGGTAAAATCCATCATGCTATAAAGTATCACCGTAGAATGATTTCGAAGGAGGGGCTCTTCTGCCTCAAAAGATTTACAGTCGTAATAAAACGGATTCGGTAAAAAGATGAATTGTTTTCGTTACTTTCGACAGACTATCTCTCGTCCGGCGATCCCGATCACCTTGACACGTCGCGGACAGGTAAATCGAAATTATTTATCACGCGCGATCTCTCTCCAGATTCGTTACGTCCGAGTGGATCTTTGCACCAGCCGGTTATATTTTATCCCCCGATGCGGAGAACGACGAGAGAGAAAAGAAAACGCGGCACCGCGTTATTTTCCGCAGGGAAAAGTCACGTAAGAGCCGGGAGGATCCTTCGACTTCCAACAAAAAAAGGGTAGAGGACGGGCGGCAGGGCGGGAGGGACGGACGGGAAACTCGTTCTACCCGAGACCCGAGTCTCTCTCCTTCGGAGCTCTCACGACCAGGGCTACTCCAGTTTCGAGGTTATCCCTAGATAGGGAAAAAATGTCTCGGCCACGGCAGCTGGGTAAAATCGTATCTCCTCCGCCCGTCCGCGCTCGCCCCCGTTTCTATCCTGTACGAGAAGGGGTCGTCCTCGTTGTCGGAGAGTATTGGCCGCCACGAGCAAAAACCTTGGGAGCCGTATGTACGTGAGCACGTGTGTGTATAGCGCGCCACGGCTTTCCGTCTCCACGTATACGTGTCGGGAGGGAAGAGGCGGGAAAGGGAACGAGAGAAAGAGGGCTGAGGGTTGTGAGAGGAGAGAAAGCAGGAGAAAGGTGGAACCCGCGTAGATGGAAGAGAAGAGAGTAGGGGACCCGGAGTGAAAGAGAGACTCGTAGGGAGCCCGGGGGGATGAGAGAGCGTGAGGAAAGCGGACGGAAGGCGGGGGAGGGGAGGGGAGGAGGCAACAGTGGAGAATCGGAGGGAGATGGGAAGCTCTGTGAGACTCGTTCCAGCGCACACAAGCCATCCTATATTACGGAGTCTCACTCTCTATCCTGCCGCGCGTCCTCCCCCCCCCCTCCCTCGCCCCGTCCGTCCCCCGACGCCCTCGAGATGAAACCCAACTTCTCTCTGCTACCTCGACTCTCACACTCCTCGCTCACCCTTCAACCTCCCCCGCTCGCCCGTACCGTGCCCTTCCACGCCCGCCCCGCTACGCCATACCCTATGTCGGAGAGTAAGGGAGTCCTTTGGGGTTGAATCGAGGGAGCGGCGAGGGGGCATGTCGGTGCGGAGGAGGTAGAAGGACACGGCCGAGAGAGGAACGTATCCGCGAAGCGTTGTATGTATCGTCGTCGCTATGTACGTATGTGCGCACCGCCCGGTATATGTACCGGTACACGTCGTGCGCTGCGCGCTTACATATATGTATGTGTGTGTGTGTGTGTATGTGTGTGTGTGCGGAGAGGTGTGCGCCGCCGTTGGGCGATATTAATTTCTCTGCGAGGGCTTTCGTCCACCTCTACCTTCCCACACCGCTCGCGACTGTGCGGAACGTTCCCCGCGAACCAACCTACCACCGCCACCCACCGCCCACGCACCCCCGCGAGAGAACACTCCGAGTTGTGACTTTCGGCGGTCATTTCAAACCATCCACTCCCCCCATCTCCGCTCTCCCTTTGCTCGTCCGCCGCTCCTTTCACATCTGTCCCGAGCCTCGTTTGCTCTGGGCGCACTTTTTCTTCTTTGCGACGGTCTTACGTCTGAGCGAACTAGTCATCTAGTATCTGGCATTCGCGAGTAATAATAAAAATAAGCGAAATCATTATTGTTACAATAAATGCAAAGATTTTTTTTTTTATAATTTTAATTTCTTTTTCTTTCTCTTTTTATTAGATGAGATGAAACCATGAATAGCTTTATCAAGGACTTCGTATTTCAAAGTGCTTCGAAGATAGGTTCCGCTTTTAGTTTCCTTCGACCGGATATCCATCTCTACTCAGGTAGCACTTTTCATCGGTGATGACTTCGCCAAACGAAACAGGTATGTTTGCATTTTCCTCGAAAATTTTTCTAGCTTCGGCTTTTATGACGGCAATCCGAAGAATTCCGATGAATGCCCGAAGATACCCATTGACCATTTCAACAATGGAACCGTTATATTTCAGGTTAAAAGTTGAGTGGCCATTTTTTTCCGACATTACCTAAATTTAACTGTCTTCTCTCGCTGCGTAATATTTTGTGGTTTCTTACATATAGAAATATTTTGCGAAAACTTTGTGAGAACATCAAAGTATTACTATTTCTTTATGCTTTGTGAAGTCACGAATATTTCTATAACGGTACTCGATAGTTAATCATATTTCCCTTCGCCTGTTTAGGATCGTGCAATCGCGCATTACATCGTCCCCTATTGGGCGACTTCACAAAGGATTGCAAAGTTGCGACCGACGATGTTGCGCGGCGCAACGATACCCGGGCGCGCGCTGCCTTTTATTTCATAGATCGGTAGTTACAGCCCGCGGCATTCGCGTGAATTTAATTAAACAAACGGAGTTACGCGCTTACGGCTACATTTCGCAAACAGCAACCTCCGGGAATCGTATCCTCACCTCGGTAACCGGAGGCTAACTATAGGATGAGGTCAATCTTGCGATACGACCCCGAAATAGAACCCGATCGATTGAAACAGATTTGAATATGAACCGTGTTAACACCGACATGAAAATAGAATGTTAACGGTATGCATGTAATTAATGGATTGCAATTGCCACTAATGGTATTGATTACTAATGATCTTTTTACGAAATTGAATATACATATAAGACTGATTCTTATTCGATTTGAAGCAAAAGTAGAACCCGAGCATATAATTCCGGCAATATGAGATATTACAGAAATTACGAAAATATATCTAAAGTAGTCTTTATATTTCGCGCGGCAGTCGGAATAAAATCGTATCACTCATATCACGTAGCGGTAAAAGTTCAGTTCACCGAAATTAGATCATTTACTTGTTTGCTGTAATAAATAAGAAGCAATAATTGTATCAAATATTTGACAAAAGCGCCGTGGAAAATCCACAGCGCGCTCGCGTATCTATTACTTTGATCGTTCTACCGTTTAGTGTGTTCCAGTAAATATAACTTTTGACACGGGACCGGATATTTGTTTCGCTCTCCACTTAAGTGATATATTCATCGCGTGCGTCCGGCGGCGAATCGCGGTGGCGACGTGAAAAATACCACCGAAAACAGATCGACCGGATTTAGACCCTTTATATACTCCGCTGTTGCCGCGGCAGGGCAAACGGGAGCGCGCTTTAAAGTTGCACGCCGCACTTAATGTAAATCAATCCGCCGTCAATCTGGCGCGCGAAATCCGCGGTAGCGGAGGAAATTAAATTATTTTCCTATTTAATATGACCGAATGCATTCGTCGCTCCGGCGCGAATAACGATTTTCGCTAGAGGGGAGAAGGGGGAATAAAAAAAACCAGCGTCGCCATCGTCGTCGTCGTCGTCGTCGTCGTCGTCGTCGTCATTCTCGTCCTCGTGAGATGACAGAGCGCCGCGAAATTGAATTATAGCCGACAGATGAGGAGCCAGATTAAGACCCGACCAAGTAGCAGCGTCTTGTCGCGCAGAGTCGAAAAGTGGAGCGCCGTATTCCTTCGCGAGATTCCTTCGCGCCGTCCCCCTGCTTGGTATGGACCGCCGACTCGGCGGAATCCTTTGTGATCTCGTTGAGGACGATCGCACGGGCCATCCTCCGCGAGTCCGACGAGGAGAAAGGTGGGAAGGAGGGGGGGGGGGAGTGGCGAAGAGATCACCGGAGTCTAAAACCCCATGATATAGCCACCCTCATCACGCGCATAAATCACAATAGAGGCGGAAAGTGGCGTGGAGAACTTCTCAAGCAGGGATATGTTCTCGGTGTAGTTCTCCGCCATCCACCCTCTCTCCCCGGCCGACCGCCTCGCGTTTCTCGATCTTTGCCAGTATTCCCGGCTTCTTCTTCTGCTTCTTCTTCTTCTTCTTCTTCTTCCCACTCCCTGCTACTCCTCCTATCCCCGGCCCCGCGTCTTTCCTGACCCAGCTAGTCATCCTTTTTACACGACCCGTACGACTCCCTCGCCAAGTTCTGGCGAAACAGTGACACCGCGCTGGAACTGTCACTTGATTTATCATAGCATTTTATATACGCGAATCGTGTAGAATTGCGCACAGACGAAAACAGCAATTTCGGTGCGATTGCGTGAAAAAAAAAATGGAAAAACGATTGTAATTAGGATGTGATCTAAAAGTGACGCGCGAGAGAAACGGAGTGGTAACACGATGTAAGTTTCACGATACGGACTTGGCGTTACACGTGAGGGAAATGGAAAATTTTTATGAGAGCCCTTTGCAGAAAATTTTCTATCTCCTGTAGAGATAAGCCGCTGTACGTTAACGGATTTAATACAATGCGATATACGTGTTTGCGATACACGGATACGTACATGCGTTTGTGCACCTGTATTTATATATAT